CGGAGCTGGAGGCCCCGCCGGGGGCACCCGCTGTCGCCCCGAGGCTGCTTTAAAACATCGTTATTTTTTCTTCTCCTTTTTATTTATTTTTTTCCTTTAAAACTTAGAGTTGAGGAAAAAGGTAACATGCCTGATGCGGAATAGCTAAATACCCCAAGTACAAACTTTAACTGGTTTGTGGGTAGTCTAGTGGAGTCGTTGCTGAGGGTGTTACTGGCGTTTCAGCTCTGTGCGACGCTTTTTGCCCCGTTTAGAGCCCTCGTCCAGAAAACGACCTGGACCCAGCTGCCCCATAGAGGAGCTCGAGGGGCTCTGTACCCCAGTGCTGACTTTTTCACCACACGGCAGCCCTTGGCAGCCAGCGTTGGTGCATATGAGTGTAACTGCGGATGTGAGAGTAATGCGGTGAGAGGGCGTCTGGCTTCGCTTTGGCGTCTGCTGCAGCTTAGACCTGGGCTTTCTGGTTAGTGACCCGCTTCAAAGGTGAAAGGACTCTTTCCAAGAGCTTATCGCTGAGGCTCTTACTACGAGGCTCTTCCTCTAAGGCCCAGGTTGTGCTTAAATTTTGGCAAAACAGGATTGATTTGAAGGAGTGGTTTGTTCTGCAGGTATCCCGAATGTCTGTTGGTAATTGTGTAGTACCCTATACCGGGATAGGGACTTTCATTTGGAGAGTCTGCTAACGATGTCTTTGTTCTGCTCGTTAAATAGTGGCCTTTTAGCAGCAGTATATTGTAGCCCACAGAAAACCTCAGTCTTCTGAGGTGTTGTGACTCTTGCCAGTAAGTGTGCTTGGGAGAGTAGAATTTGGGTGCTCTCAAATTTCCTAGGACAGAAAATTGGAAAATGTTTAAAAACTGCAAAGCTCAGATAAGTGTGTGTAGGTGAGGACTGACCCTTTAGGGGTGCAGTGTGAAGGGAATGATTTCCTCCTTGGGCACTTAGAGCCTTATGTGTGTTTTTTTTTTTCCTCCCCCCCCCCTTTTTTTTCCCCTCTTACATGTCCTGATTTTCAAAGCTGTTGGCCAACTGAAGGCCTGTGTATCTGTCCTTCTTCCTTCTTGCCATGATACAGATGCGACTGAGAGCAAACAAATGTTTGGTGGGAACTAATGTATTAATATTTGTAGTTGATCTTATTTTCTTAGTGGAGCTTCTGATGCAACTTTACATTATCTTTTCCAGGGATGACCCGTTTTATGCTTCCATCGCCCGTAGTTCAGACCTAGTAATCACATGGCCTTAGGATGAGTGATTTGACCCTACTGCTTTGATGGAAAATAAATAACTTGCTAGAGGGGAAAAAAACAACGTTGTTCTTGGGTTCTTCTGCCCCTCCTTTTATTCCCTTCTCCCTGCCTTGGCTCTGGCTGTTGGCAGCTGGAGGGCAGATTGGATTTTCTAGCTGCTCAGGCAGGAAACCAGTTTTATTTTTGTTGTTGTGTTTCTTATTTTCTTTTAATTCATTTTTAGTCAAATGAGGTGTCGATAGGAAAGAGCAGGAGGGGAGAGTGGGGCCTCCCCTTCTGGTGGCAGAACTGGTTCATCGCGACCGGGGCTGCACAGCTGCAGACCCGCTGTGCACAATGCTGCTGCAGGGATGCACAAGTTGTCCAGAACGGTAACGTTCTTGACATAATATTTTTATGCAAACAATCTCTTAATTCCATATTCTTCAGAAATGCTCATTTCAGCTACATCAAAGATGTTTTCCAGGGAAAGCAACTGCTTTATTTTTAGGCATTTTTCTTAAGAGCAGCTTCCTATATTCTAAAGAAACCTCACTAGTTTGCAGTTCACATGTGTCCATTTTGGACTGACCCTCTTCTGACTCATGATCTGTTTTGGGCAAGGAATGCTTTTCTGTTAATAATACATTTATTTACGCAAATTGAAATAAACTCAAGTCTTAGGAGATCTTCCTTCTTTATTGAGAAGAAGGAAAAGTGAAAAGTCCTGCAACATTAGTTGAACTTGTACATCATTTAATGACTTTTCCATTACATTCTTATATAATTTGAATATTTTCAGGACGATGCCGTTAGTATTGAAAGCGGTACCAACACGGAACGCCCCGACACCCCAACAAACACTCCTAATGCACCAGGAAGGAAAAGCTGGGGCAAAGGAAAATGGAAGTCAAAGAAGTGCAAATATTCCTTCAAATGTGTAAATAGCCTAAAGGTAAGTATGGGTGAGCTTCAGCAGGGGAAAGCTGGCTGCCGTTTGCTGCCAGTGATGTTAGTGTTGATTGCGAGATAGTGCAAGACTGATATTTAAAAATACATTTACATAATTTATGTTCCATGCTCATATGAAGAACATACCTTTTTTTTTTTGATTAAAGTTGTAAAGAGAAGGTTTCTGAGAAATAGAAATCAGTAGGAAGTGGTGCATTTGGCCTGATTTTTGTACAGTTTTGCAAAGCTATGCATGCTCTTCTGTAATTATGTTTTTTTATCGGCACTGCAGTTGCTTGATATAGTGAAACAAATTCAAATAATAAATTGTGATGACTTGATACAGAGTACTGATCTAACACAGCCTTTTTCTACCAGTTGAAATATATTTTAATTAATTAAAAATAAAAAACAGACCCTTACAACCTTGGAGGAACTTTTTCCTCACACTGAATGGAACCAGTATTTTCTGTTGTCTAGCAATTAACATAAATGCTGTATAGTGCGATCTCTTTAATTTACCAAAAATGTGATCGTGTGTTTGCACCTGACTAGGTCTCACACATTCTCGTATAATACCTGGTGGTACTAGGGGTTGTGGACATGTTGCCTCTTCTCCCTGTTCTTGCTAATTTTATTTTTTTTTTACTTCTGCACTGGTCACAGACCATGAAGAACTAAATCAGTCGGTCAGGATTTGATTCTCTTGCGTTAGCAACGTGTTGTTCTTTTGCTGTCTGGTCTTGTACAGGAGGTATTTAGATGTCAAAAGCTGTAACTATGCATGTGATATGACTCTCTTGTAAGACTCCTAAATATAGGAAACACTGGCTGTGGAATAAGATGGAAGCTTCGTTAAACTTTGTATATAGCTGACAGGAGGGTGTGCGGTTCTGTCATGGGTATTTCCTGCAGAGCTCCTTGAAGAGCTTTTGTCATTCTCTTGCACTTAACTATTGGGTTGTGCTGATGTAGCTGTTTCTGGACATGTGCCTCAGGCTGCCTCACTGTCATGATGGGGTAGCTGAGCAGGAAGGGATGAGAAGTTTGGAGTAAGCAAACTTCCTAGGTGGCTTTGCCACTGGAGAAATTGTGGTATGAAGTTACACTGACAAAAGAGCCTGGGAAGTAAGATTGTCTGCACCTTTTTTTGATGTTTAATAAAAAAAATCTTCCTTTCAAAGCACAGGAGGAAGGGAAGTTCTTTTGATTTTCACATAGGTAGGCAGCTGCTCCTGTTATTCACATAAATCGCCCCCACACCGTGTGCTTTTTGTGGCATCCTGTCGTGCTTCTCACGCAAGCGTGGGCCTCTCTGCACCCAAACATTTAGCAGCTCTTGAGTTTTGCGAAGCACACTGGTTTTGTGTCTGCAGAACAAATATCCCTACGTCATTAGTATTTTTTCATGTCTTCTGAAAGAACGGAACGCATTCATGTTTCAACTTAAACTTAGGCTCCACTGTAGGGTGATCTAAAAGGCCACCTTGTAGAGTAAAGCATTCCCTGACTTCCTTGGGTCTGGATAAGTGCCTGGAAACAGATTCCTGTGCAAGTGGGATCAATCTGTGTAAGTAAATGTATGGTTTCAGCTAAATAGGGTATTCTTACTAACCTTTTCTTCTCATTCCTCTTTGAACTCAAGTTGAACTGTATTAATAGGAAGACTAGAAAGCAGCCACATTTGATAACTCCTCTTTGCTTTGTGTTTGAGGAATCCTCTCTAATTTTCTTTTTTCTGTTCTTCCCTCCTGATTTTACAGATACTGTGGAGACAAATCAAAACAGCTGAATGTTGTATATGGGTTGGGAAAGACATTCATTACTTTGTTTCCTTAAGGAGAAAGGAGTAAAAAGGAGGATTAAAAAAAAAAAGTCCATTATTGACTTCTTTGAACATTAAAAGGTTATGATTCAGCATGAAAAACTCAGTGCTTGCCAAATATGTTTTTTAAATACTAATGTGGAAGTTACTTTAGCTGAAATGCAAGTACCAGGAAAACAAACAAACAAAAACTTTGTAAATAATAGGAGATTCAAATGTGCTTAATTATTATTACTGCTGTTTACAGTGCTAAGATGCTGTCATGTGAACTGAAGAATAATCTCTGCTCCCCATGCACTGATTGGAAACCGAATTTATACATGAGCATATACAGCTAACAGAAGCATGTGCTCACATACATTTATATGTGTTCCGCTTATAGGTCTTCTATCAAGGAACTCTGTGTTCTGCTTTGATGTGCTCTCTTTAAAACAATGCCATTATTTGCCCTCTCCTTGTGCTTGTTCAGGGTGCGGTTCAGTAGCTGTTTGCAGTCTGATTTCTCAGCTTGTACTAACTGTCCCCTGGGCTGGGGAATCAGTAACAGCCAAATAAGGAAGGCACTAGCTCCATGGCTTGTCAGAGAGGTAACTAAAACCACTGCTGATGATGCCTTACTTGCACTGCGGGGGCTGGAGAGACACATATGAACAGTTAGCACCTTGTTAGCAGAGAGGGTGACATTATTAAGGCATGTTCATGTAGCTGTGGGTGATTATCCCCCTGCCATAGTATTTGTATAGCTGCTGCCACTTTGAAAACAGGTCTACTCTTACTCCCTTCACAGCAACCTCAGATGAAATCTAGCAAGTAAGGGCAAAACTAACTGTAATATGCTTATTTATTTGCTTTAAGTACGCTATTGCAACAACTGTGGGTCTAGTTGCTCCTCTGTCTCCTTCCTGGTGCTCGAAGCACCTGAGTGCGTTGGGTCTTGTGCCCTTTATTTATGCTGGTGTGATGGTGCCATTTCACAGTTCTCCTATTCTTGGCTAGAATCTGGGTCAAACTATTCTCATAGGCAAATCAGTGGTCAGATTTGCGTGTCAGATTTGGTGTTGCAGGATAACTGTAACATGCAGCACCTAACAGCAGAGTGTTTTTAAGACGTGCTTCATTATTTAGCAATGGGAACAAAGATTAGCCTGGACAAGTATTATCAGAAACGCTTAAGTGCTGCCTTTTACCAGTGAGGAGGATGGTGGTTTAAAATAGGTCAGCAAAACTTCTTCGGATACCCTAGTTGCATCCTGCAAGAGCATCTTTGTGTCTCCTTCATCCAATATACCCTGGAAAACTGTAATATCTGTGATGAGGTTTTTGGGATGTTGTGGCACATTGTATAAGGAATGTAGTGTGGATGGTTTAGTAATGTAATGACATTTGTCCCACAGAGTGATTTTCCTAGGGAAGTATGTCTTTGAAAAAGACTTATTGAATGCTTCATTATTTCTATACTTGAATAAATTCCTGTAGTCCTATAGTGCATATCTCTGCTTATCACATATCATCCTGTGCTGTGTTTTATGTAGAAGATAATTAACCTGTTGCAGCTTATCCTAGAAAAATATCCCATATTGAGGGCAGGGTGAATATCTTGGATATCAGCCTTTTCTTCCTCCTTTTTGTATTTCCCATGTTGCAAAATTAATTTGGAGCAGTGCAAGATTATTCTTGAAAAACAAGTGCTAATGTGCTAGACCAAAATTGCTGCTGTATCTCAAACAAAACAGCATGAATCCATGGAGTTTTGCATGTATGTTGCCCTTGTGTAGTTGATGAAACGCTCTCTTTATTCACCAGGGTGAACTTGTTTACAAACATGTTCAAACAACTTGTTATTAGTGAATTTTTTTATGTTAATCACCCATTTCATATTTGACCTCTCAGCCACGCTGTCCAAAGAAGACTTAAATACATTCTAAAGACAAGCCTAAAAACTACAGTTCAAAACTTTATTGAATACACAAGTCCATGACTTTGAGATTTCATGGTATACAATTTTCTTATTCTTAATCTCTAATTAAGGTGTAATTCCATATAGATGCTAAATACCAGTTGTTTTTCTTTTGTCCTGTACTGCCTTAATAATTTTACTACTTTTTTTTTTGTTAGTAGCACTTTTCTCTCTTCACACAAACCAGCCAGTTCATGTTTTAAAGGCTAATATTTTATTGATTTTAAACATGGAAAAATCTTATTAATCTCTATTTGGCTTTGACCCTTCTTTCAGAAATTTAGGAGGGGCTTTTCCCTGAAAGATCTTTCTGTCTTTTCTTAGCTCTGTTTCTGGAGGTAATAACACGATGATACTTTTCTCAGTAAATACTGTCCCTTCAAAATCCTTCACGCTTTCTTGCTTTTTAGTAGGCTTCTTTGCATAGTGTTGGAGTTTCCCTCCTCCTCAGATTTATCCTATGGCTCTTGAAGAGGCCAGAGCTACCAGGGCTAATGTTTCTGGTGTTGCTTCTGAAAAACAGATTTGAAGAGCACTCAGTCACAGTCATGAGACACTTCCTTCCTGCCTCTACTGTCCCAGACAGTCCCCTGTGGGGAGGCACTTTAATGAACATTATTCTGACTGAAAGTATCCTGTCAAGGCAGGCCAAAATACTGTTATCAATTATTAATAAGCACCACCATATTCATCACAACTTATAAACATGTATGTGTATTTTTTTTCTCTGCCCTTTAAAATTGATTTAAGCTGTATAAAAATAGTGCTCAGCCTTTTGCTGGTAACTGTGAAGAAAGTCTGAAAACATTTTGTAGATAGGAATTTTGTAGTATGGCATGCTGGAATTGATTCATCATGTCTATGGTAGAGTTGCGGGACCTAATCATGCTGGAATGGTAGAACGTAGCCCTTCTCTGTTCTTGCACCACAATAAGTGCTAATAAGCCTTCTTAGTGAGGCTGTAAATCCTGCTGTAATTATAACAACATAAAAAGCGCATTGACCTGGCTTGTTAGGCTAGATTTCTTTGTTGAAGACTTCAAAACAAAGTAAGTATAGAGCTACAGATTTAACTTGAGAGTTCTGCAAACTTCTGGCCATAAATGTGAGACAACAAATCTTCCCTTCATTTTAAAAGCTTGACAAATAAAGTATTCCTTTAACATCCCTTAATAAAGGCAATATAAAATGTCATGTTGCAAAATGTCTCTTTAACTGTTGACTCTCTCAAATTATACTGGATGTGAGCTTAGTAGTTTGAATACTAATTATGCTGTTTTCCATCACAGCTCAAGTTTTACAGAAATGTCTGTGGGTTTTATTTTTTTTTATCAGGAGGACCATGGTCAGCCTTTGTTTGGAGTCCAGTTTAACTGGCACAGTAAAGAAGGTGATCCTCTTGTTTTTGCCACTGTAGGCAGCAACAGAGTGAGTAATCTTTTTGTTTTTAACCATAACCCTTCTGAGTGGTTCTGTTTGCAATCCTTTTTCCAGCTAATGCTTTTACGTGTGCTTGGTAGTGCCACAATATCGAGGACTTTCATATGAAAAGCTTCATATAGAAAGCTTTATTTCTTAGGTATGTAGTGTCTCTTATCTGGGAGAGGTGAAACTGGATTGTTGTATGATGTCAGGCTTTAATTATTTGGGAATTATCCTGTATGGTAACTGAAGTTCCAGCAATAGGGTAAGGGAAATTTATCTCCTCACTAAAATTCCTCTTCCTAGGTGTTACTATTTCCAAAAGATTCTGTGCTTTAAAATTGGATGGGAAGTGGCTATGATGCCAGTGTGCTTGACAGCTAAATTGATGGCCTGCTTGAGGTGAATTTAGGTTCTTCCTCAACAAAGATCTACGTCACTGCAGTCTTAAAATACCTGCTGAAGTGCACTTTTATGTATATGTTGTGAATAAGCAAGAAGCCTTCAGTTTTCAAGTTTATTCGACCTGGCAATTACCAAAATTGCTAACCTAAGATTACACCTGATAGGAACAGCTTTTTAAAAGACCAAAATCAGGTTAGAGGTGGCTGCAGTAATTAGTAGTTCTAGGAACTAGAACTTTATAATGGAGACAATTCAATTAGTAGCTTTAAATATCTGGGTAGCACACTGGCAAATCCTAGTGTGATGCTTTGCTGAAGTAACTGTGAGCATTCTTTTATCAAACTGCTTCCCTGCGTTGCAGATGAACAGATAATGGAAGAGATCTAAACCGTAAGAATCGCTACCTGTTATCAGCAGAAAGTCAATACTCAATTGCATATGATTTCCATTGGAAGTTTCATAAGTAAGCAGTAATCTCTTCCTTTTTTTTTTTTTCCCTCCAGGTTACTTTATATGAATGTCATTCTCAAGGAGAAATACGTTTGTTACAGTCCTATGTAGATGCTGATGTATCCTTTTAATTTTTTTAAGAAGGTAAAACATCTGTTTGCTTCCTCTTTATCAGAATTGAAAAGGATTAATGAGAAACAGAGCTTGAAGGTTTTGTCTGTGATTTAGTATTTTGCTTATATGGCTCATTCCTCCTGGTAGGTCCAAACCTTACTTCTTTTCCACATCCTAGAATTCCTCCTGTTGAAATAATACTAGAAATGCAGACTCATGGAACATGCTATATTAAAATATTTGAAAACTGATTCTCCATCAGCTTAGTCTTCCCAAACCTAATATTTGTGTTGTATTTTATGTTCACTGTTTTACAGTGTTCTCAGCTTCCCTTTGAATTGGAACTAGAGTTAAAGCCTGAGAATTTGTCATACTCTCAAGTGGTAATAACTTGTATTGATGTGTGACAATTCACAAGTGTCAACTTGTGAACTCAGTCTTGATTTACACTCATTTTATTCTTGATCTTGGAATCTTTTAAAGAAAGAGAATTGAAAAGTGATTTCAAAAAAAAAGAGGTGTTCCTTGTGTGTTGTGGAATAGAAGAGAGGAAATTGGGATATGTAGAAAAGAGGATGGAGCTGATATTTACAGATGTATCATTAAATATTTTTTCTTTATTGATCCCAGTACAGGGTCCTGGGTACTTTTGTAACAGCATCAGCCTTGTTTTGTTAAAATACATGGTTTAAAAAAGCACTCCTTTTTATTACAAAACAAAACTTCTGTTATTTCTGTGTTCCTTAATGTACAACATTGTAGGCAGATGAAAATTTCTATACCTGTGCTTGGACATATGATAGCAATACAAGCCATCCTCTCCTGGCTGTGGCAGGGTCCAGGGGTATTATTAGGATAATTAATCCTATTACAATGCAGTGCATAAAGGTGAGTGCTCAGAACTGCAAAATACATCTTGCATTTCATTAAGGTGTGTAATGCCTCAATGCTTGTCAACTTGGGAAATGATAACTTGGTCTCTGAATTCTGTCCCAGCACTATGTAGGCCATGGAAATGCAATCAATGAACTGAAATTCCATCCAAGAGATCCAAATCTCCTCTTATCTGTAAGCAAAGGTGAGGAAAGATGCATTTCATTTTTGTATAAATCAGAGTACTGTGGTTTGGGTTTTGGTATTGAAAGTGGCCAAGACCCCTCTCAAATCCATGTTGATGAATGCTACTGAACAAGCTTAGCCTGAAAGTCTAGAGCAAATTTTGGTCTTAAAGGTTATATGTAATGTAAATATTAAATCCATGGCCTACAGTGAAAATAACTGTGTGGCACTAAGGGATTGTGGACAGTGCTGCTCAGTGTTGGGGTTGCTGCTTCCGGACCTTAATTTGGGCTATTTCTTTTTCCTCAGTTGTTGGCTCATGTTGCCATCTAGTGGGGATGTGTTAATATTGCAGACAGCATTCGTCACTGGTCGGGGAAAAATCTCTTTTCTGTCAGGAGGAGTTTGAACTTTAGATGGAGTTGGTGTAAAAAGGGCATTCGTGAAGTACGTTTTTTGCTTGGTGCCCTACAGTCTTATTTGGAATGTGGAAACAACCATCACACTGTAACCTTGACTATTTTGTTAAGTAAAGGAACACTTGATCTGTCACAGGAATAAGCTTTCAATAATCACAGAATAATTGAGTTGGAAGGGACTCCTGGTGATTGCCTAGCCCAATCCCCAGCAGGACCACCTACAGCAGGTTGCCCAGGGCCATGTCTGGTTGGATTTTTAATTCCTTAAAGAATAGAAGCTCCACAGCTTCTTGAGGCAACCTGTTGAAGTGTTCAGCCACTTTGACGGTGAAAAGGTGTTTTCTTTTATTCAAGAGGAGTTTTCTGTGCTTTAGTTTGAGCCTGTTTCCTCTTGTCCTGTCACGGGCACCACTGAGAAGGATTTGGCCCCATCCTCCTTATACATTTCCTTCAGATACTTATGCACAGTGACAAGAATGCCCTTAGCCTGTTCTCCAGGTTGGACAGACCTGTTTTCTCAGCCTTTCCAGTGCTGAGTGGGTGGAGAAGACCACCTCCCATGGCCTGCTGGTAATGTTCTTCCCCCAGAAAACCATTGGCCTTCTTGCCACAAGGGCACATTGGTGCGTTATGGACAACTTGTTGTCCACCAGGACTCCCAGGGTCCTTTTCTGCAGAGCTGGTCTCCAGCTGATGAGCCCTCTGCCTGTACCGGTGCATGACGTTGTTCCTACCCCAGCTGCAGGACTCTGCACTCCCCTTTGTTGAGTTTCATGATGTTTCTCTCTGCCCATCTCTGTGACCCATCAAGGTCCCTCAGTGGCAGCACAGCCCTCTGGCATATCAATTACTCCTCCCAGTTTTGCATCATCATCAGTCTTGCTAACGATGCACTTGATTCTGCCATTCATTAACAAAGTTGTTAATCAACCCCAACCCAAGTACCGACCCCAAGAGCACCCCAGTAGTGACTGGCCTCTAGCTGGAGTAGGTGCTGCTGATCACAGTCCCCCAGCAGTTCAGGCAGTCTGCAGTCCACTTTACCACTTACCCAAACCATATTTTGTCAGCTTGTGTATGAAATGCATATCTGGGAATGCTGGACTGGAAATGTTAATATAAGAGGACTTCTAATTTGGGCGTAGCTGTTTAGTCTTGCTGATAAAGCCACACAAGAAGAGCAGTTGGGAACCTCTGTGATTCTTGTCTCTAGTTTTTGCAGTGGTTTAGTGCTGTTCATGTATAACTTCGAATTTCCTGAGCTCTCTATATTTTATAGGTTCTTTTTCAAATAACATTTTGCAATCAGCCATAGTACTAGGAATTTTGCTGTGTAATCTCTGGACCACGTACAATTTTCAAGGGGGCATGAGGCAGGAGAGTACTGAGGTATCAGAACTGCTCAGCTGAGAGACAAGTAGAAAGAGAAACTGTGGGGCTGTGCAGTATCCTTGTTGGTATAGCTGTAATTTAGTGCAAATACTTATAGAGTCCAAATGGGAAGTACACAAGGGATTCCCATTTTTAAGAGCAGTGAGCAATGTGCTGTAGTTTCTACACTGGAAATTGTTAAAACTTTCTTTAAACAAGTGGACTAGTCACTTGATTTGGAAGTGTATATTGTTTACAGACGTCATTCCTTCCTGCCTCTATAGTTTATGATTCATAAAGAATAATATTTTAAAGATTAAAAAGTGGAAAATTCAAACTTTCTGAACACTGATGTAAGAATGGCTGAAAGGAATTTAACGTTTGGATGTGTTTGTTTGAAATATAAAATTGTCTGTGAAATAAGACTGAATAAAGACACGATTGTCCAAGGTCAGATTCTGCTTTTCAGATGATCTAAGACCTAAAAATATTTTTTAGAGAAACTGTTCCCAGGGGCTGGGGGACAGGAATGGACACATTTTCTCAATTACAGATTTAACTCTAACAATATTTAGTTAAAACAAGAAATCCAGTGAATGCAGTCCTGTTGTTCCTAACAATTGGACTCTAGTAGCTTTTTTGATGTTTACATGGGTATGTATAATGGAAACTGGTGAAGCTGAAGTATATTATTCATATGTGCATATAAAAAGCAGCATGTAATTTTATTTGTTCTTTATAGATCATGCATTGAGACTGTGGAACATCCAGACAGACACGCTGGTTGCAATATTTGGAGGAGTAGAAGGGCACAGGGATGAGGTGTTAAGTGCAGTAAGTGGAAGAATGTGGGGCAGTGATTTAGATTTACGAAGGGTAGTGAGTTCACAAAATGCACCTTTTTATCCTTCTGTGCACTGTGTTTGATGTTATGTCTAATAAAACTGAAGTGCATAAGCAATGCTTTAAGTGGATAGACAAGTGTAATTCTGAAGAGGTTTCATTCACCTGGCCACCTCTCAGTAAACAGGACAGGAATTCACCTTTTGTGTCTGTTCCAGCAGCTACATGTCTTGTAGCACAGTCTAGAAGTAAACAAAATAGAACTCAGTGGGGCTAGAAAGAGTAATAATTTTTCATTACAGTCCCACTTTTAAAGTTCTTGAGGTCTTACCTGGCAAAAGCACTCAGAACAAATAAATCTTGAGAGAGAGAGAATAGTAAATAAGTTATTCCAGGTGAGTTATGATCATAACTATTGAAAAGCAGCATATACTGGTACCCCAACAAATACCAGTGAGAACAGTTAACTTTTAATACGCTCTGCTTGTTTCCACTGCTGCTGTATAACCTGAAAGATGAGATGTATATCTGTATGAAACATGATGCTGTATCCTCCTGCAGTTGTAAATTGTCATTGGCCATGTATTAGCTTTGGAATTCTGCCATGGTTGTTCCATAAAATAAAACATAAAATGAAACCAAGGAAATCTAGTAAAGGGGAATATTAGCAGTAGCTTCATTGTCTGTCAGTGCTGTATTTTATTTTATTTTTTTCCCTTGGGTGAGAATGAGTAGAATTATTGCGCTTCTTTCAGTGAGCAGGATTAAGTCATTCTTAGTATTCTTTCCATTTGAAATACATAGTTTTATTGCTTTCTCTACAAAGAAAATGCTGTTTTGACCATGTTTTGCATATGATAGAAGTTACTAAGTTACTATATTGTCATTTAGGCTGGGGGTGCTCAAAATTATTTCATATATGTAGGATTATGATCTTCTTGGTGAAAAAATCATGTCCTGTGGGATGGATCACTCTCTGAAACTCTGGAGAATTAATTCCAAGAGAATGATAAATGCCATCAAAGAGTCTTATGAGTACAATCCAAATAAAACGAATAGGTAGGTAGTCTTCATCTTCTTAGCTGTCTTTGCAAAATATGAATGTTCTCATTCCAGATTAAATCCTATTGAAATAGGATTATTCTTGGGGTTAATGAGTGACAAGATTGTGCTGAATACTGAATATCTCTTGAAGAAGACTGGTCTTGTTAAATTTATGCCTTAACAGGATTTTATTGAATTCAAAGTCCTGACTAGAAAATGGCTGAGATTTTTCTCTATCAGTTTTAATTAAAAGCTGATATCTCATTGTGTTTCAGTATATGTCAATGCCTTCGCTTCTTTCCCACCTCAAAATTTCTAGGGGGGAAACAGATCTGTGTAATGAAATATAGTAAATAATCAGCTTTATAATGTAACTGTGGGTAGCTATTCTTAATTGTATTCTTAATATTGTATCCTTATCTGACTTTGCAGGCTGGACAAAATGTTCACCTAGTAGTAACTTTCAATTTCATAATTTTCTGATCTCAGAGATGAGTAAATTTTAATGTAAACATGGCAATTACATACGTGACAGCTAAAGTTTCCTTTATGAAATTTATCAGTCTTTTAATTAACTTGCAGTTAAACTCTGCAGAGAGAATTGAAGAGTCCAAACCACAGTTGAACATAGTTCAGCAATGACACTGGCTTTGAAAGTATTCTTGCTATTGTTTGCTAGCATTACCAAATATTAAATGTTGTTTCTTAAACTTTTTTATGTTTAGCAATTTAGATGTTGCTGGAAGAGCATCAGGAAAACTTGAGTTGTCTTAATTAGTTCTTAAGGTATTTGCCAAAGGGAACTGTACTCAGCATCTGAAGGAATTACTCCTATGTAAACTTGAGCCTTTGGGGAAATCAAGTTCCTTAAGAATGAGAATGAACATAGGGATTGTTCCTGTCCTAAATAAGTATACAAAATCTACTTTGTAATAATAATGTTGTGGGGGAAAGCAGCAAAAGACAGGCTTGTGATTTTAACATTGTTATGTTAAATGTCTCTATGGAAAATGAGACTTGTGCTTCTGGACTTCACTTGGCACTTTTCTCCATAGGCCTTTTATTTCTCAGAAGATTCACTTTCCTGACTTTTCTACCAGAGACATACATAGAAACTATGTTGACTGTGTACGATGGTTGGGAGATTTAATTCTTTCCAAGGTAAGGTGGCAGATTTTCCAGTTACTTGAGTCATTTGCTCTAAGGATCTTAAACAGTTTAGGTTCTATTAGAAGTTGGGTGGCAGTTTTGTCAACTGTTGGGATAGCTGGGTGAGCCACTTGTTCATAAAAAAAAGTTACTGACTACAGCTATAGCTTTGTTAAGAGTACAGTGATATCAGCTAATCAGAATCTGCATGGAATATACAATAAAAATAATAAAAAAGAAAGTGTAATAATCCTGATCAAGGAACTGCTGGGTCAAATGAGGGTTCTGCTAATGGAGTGACTTTGATCTGTGTGATAACAATAGTAGCATTTGCCTGCAGTACTCAGCTGGGTAGGTGTCACTGCCTCTTTGTCAGAAATTGTTGTGTGGGTGGTCCCATGGGCAGAAGGAGTTGGATGAGAAATCCTTAAGTCTGCATTAATTTATGCTGCTCATGAAATGTGTTTGAGGAGCTCTGGTCGACTTCCTTGGAAATGGGTGAGGGAGGGCTCATGCAATCCTGTTACCTGGCAGAGCTGTGAGGGCAGCAAGCCCTCAGTGAGGGACAGTGACAAATCATTGGTGATGTGGCTCTGATCTAAGGTCCAAAGTGAGATTTTCAGTTCTACTTTTTTGAACATCCTTGGGGAATCTGTGAAATGGAGTGCTTGGTTTAAAATAATAGTTAGACTGAATATGTAGTATAAATTGTAAACATAGTCAATTTTCACTGTTTTTCCTCCCAGTCTTGTGAAAATGCCATTGTGTGCTGGAAACCTGGCAAAATGGAAGATGATATAGATAAAATCAAGCCCAGTGAGTCAAACGTGACCATACTTGGGAGATTTGATTATAGTCAATGTGATATTTGGTACATGAGGTTTTCCATGGATTTCTGGCAAAAGGTATGTGTAAGTTTTGACTTAGCCGTATTTGAAGATGATTAACTTTTCAGTGATCCCATGTGTATGTGCAAGGGAAGAGTTTTTATTTCTTCATATGCTGTAATGTCATCCTGGAGAAGCAGAATTGTTTGGTACAAAAAAAAAACTTACATGAAAATGTGATGCTCCAAATATTGTGTATTCTGATGGCTCGGAAAAAAATCCGTCAAATGCTTATTTTTCACTAAAGATAAATGTATTGATATCTGCAGATGGGTAATCAAACGGGAAAAAGGAGGCAAACTTCAAAGTGTTTCGCATCCTTTCAGCAACCTCACTAACTCATCTTCAAACGTACATTTACTCTTTACCAGCTCTAGAGTCTTTATGAAATTCTGGCTTCCGTTCTTGAAACAGTACTTCAGTACTTACCTATCCTCTGCTTTCTTTCCAAGATGCTTGCTCTGGGCAATCAAGTTGGCAAACTTTATGTTTGGGATTTAGAAATAGAGGATCCTCATAAAGCCAAGTGAGTATTTAATTTTTATTTTCATTGAGACAAGTTGTTGAGGCCCTGTTTTTCCTTTACTGATAACTACAGAAATTCTTGCAGAGGAATTGCAATTGCCCATTGTAACTACCAATCAAATATTTATTTTGAACCCTTGAAGGTTAAAAGTTTTTAATTCTTTTTTTACTATTTTATTGTTTGTTTTACACTAGTGCTAAGAAGCCCCAGATTTATTTGAGCCACATTGTGCCCGGCACTCTATGTAGACAGAGAAAAAGAGTTTGTTCCTCAAAGAGTTTTCAAACTGACTAAGTGGAGAATTTAAAAGTAATTAAGAGAAGTGCCAAGTAAAGGTAGCATGTGAGAAAAGAGGTAAAGGACTAGAGTGATGAGAGTACATAGGTTAGCTGTAAGAATAATGTGGAGGAAAACGGTATGGCCTTCCTTGTCTGGCCAGGTGATTTATTGCATATTTCTACATACTTTTAAATATACGATGTTCCTGGAAATGTTGCAGTTTTTAATCACCCAATTATGATATTTTATTCCTAGACATTAGAAAAAAAAAGTTGATTAGAAAATCCTAAATATGCTTTTAGTTAACACTTCAGTGAAAAAATGGATGAATGAGAAAATTGTGTGGCAAAAAATGGGCAGGAATTTGCTGCTTTCCCAAATCCAGATTTGGAATACAAAATATACTGTGAAAAGTGTAATCCTGCTGCCCTTCTAATCCAATGTATGTTATGTAAGTAAGAAGTTGGGGGAACAGCAATCCATAAGGTAGTAGCAAGTACAGATTTAACATATATAACACTGCTGTTGAATTAATTTTATTTTCTCTCTCTTTTTTTTTTTTTTAATATAGGTGTACGACACTTACTCATCCTAAATGTGTTGCTGCCATACGACAAACCAGCTTTAGCAGGGATAGTAGTATCCTTATAGCTGTTTGTGATGATGCCAGTATCTGGCGCTGGGACAGACTACGATAAGTTACCTTTTCTTAATTCAAAGTAGAAAATATATTTTCAAATTATAATATAGTCTGTTAACTTGCTAGTCTGGTAGATGCATTTAGTGTAGACTTTCTCTGAGGTTCAGCAGACTGAAGCTGAACTTAGGGGTGTTTACATTCTGTGTAATGTTCTGCTTGAACTCTGCTGCTTTTAATAAAAAGAAGTATTTTTGTAAAGGTTTTTTGAATTGTCAATTTTAATTATTTCCTTCAATGAGTTTTTAGTTGTGGCCTGGGAAATTGCATTGTACACAGCTGGCACATAAATATATCACGGTGTGATAGAAATTGGGTACTTGAGTGCTTGCAGCTGTCTTTGTCCCTTTTTATCTTAAAATTGCTACTGAACAATATCTAGGGACCACACAAAGGAAATACTGCATGTAAGAATATTGTTTAAAAAATTGTTAAATTGCTGCTAAAATATTTTTGGACTTGTTCCTCTACTTAAATTAGTTATACATTGATGCAATTTTAATCATCTCAAACTAATTTAGTTTTAACAATCTCAAACTGGGATGTGCTTTTCTCCATTTCTGTTACTAATTAATGGCAAAAGTCACTGTTTCTCTGTGTACTTATTTGTAGTCCTCATTGCTCTATTGTTTAGATTCTGACTGTTTAGTTACTAGTTTAGTTAGAAACATTTTTAAATTGTCTCTCAGTATTGCTGAATATCCTCACAAATATTTTACTTGCTTTAGGAATAACAATTTCTATAACCAACATTACTTAATATAGATTTACAGGACCCCCAAATCCCTATCCACAGCGCTGCTTTCCAGCAGGTCAACCCCTAATTTTTACTGGTGCCTGGGGTTATTCCTCCCCAGGTGCAGGACCCTGCATTTTTCCTTGTTGAACCTCATGAGGTTCCTCTCTGTGCAACTCTCCATCTTGTCTAGGTCTCTCTGAATGGCAGCACAGTCCTCAGGAGTGTTGGCCACTCCTCCCAGTTTGGTGTCATCTGCAGACTTGCTGAGGGTGCACTCTGTGCCCTTGTCCAAGTCATTGATGAACAAGTTGAAGAGCACTGGGCCCAGCAGTGACTCCTGTGGGACACCGCTGGCCACAGGCCTCCAACCAGACTCGGCCCCACTTATCACCACCCTCTGAGCTCTGCCATCCAGCCAGTTCTCAATCCATCTTACTGTCCACTCATCTAACCCACACTTCTGGAGCTTTCCTATGAGGATGTTATGGGAGACTGTGTCAAAAGCCTTGCAGAAGTCGAGGTAGACAACATCCACAGCTCTCCCATAGTCCATCCAGGCAGTCATCCCATCTTAGAAGGCTATCAGTTTAAACGCAACTTTCCTTTGGTGGATCCATGATCATGGTGGTGAATCCATAATCCACTTCTGATCACCTTCTTTTCCTTGACATGCCTAGAGATGGTCTCTCGAATGAGCGGCTCCCATCACCTTTCCAGGGATGAAGGTGAGGCTGGCCGGCCTGTAGTTTCCCAGCTCCCCCCTCTTGCCCTTTTTGAAGACTGGAGTGACACTGGCTTTCTTCCAGTCCTCTGGTCTCCAGGACCTCTCAAAGATGATGGAGAGCGGCTGAGCAATAACCCCTGCCAGTTCCCTCAGCGCTTTTGGGTGCACCCCGTCTGGGCCCATAGATTTATGGGTGTCCAGTTTGCCTAAATAATCCCTAACCCAACCCTCTCAACCAGCGGAAAGTCCTCCTCTCTCTTGTTTCTCTCTCTCCTCCGGGCTCTGTAGTTCATGTGGACTGGCCTTAGCAGTAAAAACAGAAGCAAAGGCAGCATTTAGTAACTCTGCCTTTTCTGCATCCTCCGCCACCAAGGCACCCTCCCCATTCAGTAGTGGACCAGCGTTTTCCCTAGTCTTCCTCTTGCTGCTGATATATTTGTAGAAGCCCTTCCTGTTGTTCCTGACATTTCTCACTAACTCTAATTCTAAACAGGCCTTGGCCTTCCTTGTTGCATCCCTGCATTCTCTGACAATGTTCCTATATTCTTTCCATGTGGCCTGGCCCTTCATCCACATTATGTACGTGCTCTTTTTCTCATTAAGTTTACCCAACAGCTCCTTGCCTATCCACGCAGGTTTCCTACCTCCCTTGCTCGACTTCTTATAGGAATGCACAGATCCTGAGCTTGGAAAAAGTGGTGTTTGAATATTAGCCAACTCTCCTGGACCCCCTTTCCTTCTAGGGGATTCCTCCAAGGAGCTCCCTGAAGAGGTCAAGTTAGCTCCCTTGAACTCCAGGTTTGCAATCCTACTTCTTGTCCAGCTTCCTCCACACAGAATCGTGAATTCCATCATCTCATGGTCACTGCAGCCAAGACTGCCCCCAACCTTCACATTTCCCACTAGACAATCTCTGTTTGTTATCATCAGGTCTAGCAGTGCCCCTCCCCTTGTTGGCTCATCAACCACCTGCATTGAGAAGTTATCTGCCGTGTTCTGCAGGAACCTCCTGGACTGTCTGCTCCTAGCTGTGCGATTATCCCAGCAGACATCATGGTGGTGGAAGTCCTCCATAAGGACCAGGACCTGGGATCGTGAGGCTTCCTGCAGAGGCCTATAGAAGGACTCATCCACTTCCTCTTCCTGGTCAGGAGGCCTGTAGTAAACCCCCAGGACAGTGTCGCCCGTGTTGGCCTGCCCTTAAATCCTGGATTTCAGTGCATGTCCAGATTGTTTTAATACTTTCTTTCCTGCTGTCTTGTCTGTATCACAGCGGTTTTGTCACATGCATTCCTTGGATCAGAAGGCAGCTGCAACACAAGAGAAATCAAAACCAACTAAGAAATCAAACACACACACAAAAAATCTCACATTTGGCCATGACTCTCCCAGCCTCTGTGTGCCGCAGGCCCCTGGGGTAGGAAAACCACGCACACCTTCTAGTGTGTATGCACAACTCTAAGCCGCACAGAGGCACATAGAATAGGGTCTAATACAGGTCTTAAGATATCTGAATTCCTTCCATTTGTGGTGGGTAACTTCTGTTTCACTTGTGTGCAGGTCTTTGCTGCAGCTCATGACCACTTACTCTTTCAAGGACTTCTCCAGCATTTCATCAGTTTTCCCTTTTGAGGGTGGATGGGCAAAGAAAACACGTGTCTTTGTCTTATCTTGCTTCATGTTGTGAAGAAGCCACGTGTTTCTTTGTTGTTTCTCCTCCAACTGCCTCCCCCAGCTTTTTTTCTTCTTCCCAGGGAGTCTTGAAGGAAGTCTATTCAGTAGGAATCAATAAAACATGTAGATTTACATGATGTCCACACTCAAAATACAACCCCCTTCCCATCCTCTTCCCAACAGATCTCATCCAAAAGTCACGGAGCAGCACAAAACACTCTTCACTGTTCACAGCTTCTCTCTCATGACACCCCAGCAAACTTACGCCTTTGTGCTCTGCTCTAGTAAGGTGTGTGCAGGCACCTCCCTTGATAGTTGTTTGGGAATCAGCTCTGACTTCTGCAGAAATAAGATGAAAGCTTTAGCCACTAGCCTCAGCCCTGCACTCTGAAGCCACAGCAGACCAGGAGCTGGAGGTGGAAAGGCCTAAGTCAGGCATCCAGCCCACATGGTCTAGTTGTGCTTCAGAATGCCCAAAGAGTAACAACCTGAGCAGGCCCAGACACTTCCACAGGAACAGGAGAACCCCAGAAATCACTCCCACACAGCCTTTGTGGCTCTATCACAAAGCAATGATTCCACTCCTATTTCTTCTTGGATCCTCTAACTGTCTCTGATTATCACTCATGGCATTGTAAGCACATGATGCAGTGGCCATTTCTGTAGCTGACACACTGCCTGTTACATGGCCTCTAGGAAACTACTCATAGCTTTGAGGTTCCCAGGATAGTTATTTTTTATTCTCAAAACATGTTCCTACAGAGCTTTCCTGGAACACATTCATCTTCTGCTGTTCAGCTTTTCTGGTCCTCAGATGCAACTCGAGCTCTTTTGTTCCTTGCAATCTCTCTGCTGGAGTTCTCAACTGTTATGCAAGAAAGAGTCCATTTTAGTGTGACCACAGTGGGTGTGAAGGCCTAAAGGGAGCATATCCTCATTTTCAGGACAGTCACTGCTAAGGTCTCTTTTACCCAGTCACATCAACCATAAGGCTTCAGCCTTGAGCCCTAAAGCCAAAGATGTCTCCCTTCTAGTTGACTGCAAAATAACTGCAAACTCTTTAGTTACAGAAGGCATATTTACAAATATGTTGTTTCTCCTCAAACTTCTCCAATCAAGCTAATCGAGGGATGATCCATCCATGGCCTCTGCACAAGGCGCTGCTCTTTCTACTCTATTTTCTTTGAGAACTTTTCCCTCCCCATGATGAACAGACAAGCCTGAGAGGCAACAGTCAGCTAGCAAACACTTCACACTCCAGATTCCACTATGAGATTGATACCTACAAAAAGTCACCTTCCCCTGGGGAAAGGCTATTTGTCAGAATGTTTTAAAATGCATGCAGTACCTGGGACCCATGGATATTCCCTGCCCTGTGAGCCTCATAGTCTGCCCAATCTGTCAATGCTTTCTTTTCCTTCCTTTGGGCAGAGGTTAGCAGGGAATTTCTTAAATTCCATTCTGTAGCAATGTCAATAGTTTCCTGAAAGAACAGAGAAATGCAACAGCCCATAGAGGTTGGGTCATTTTTGTCCTGGAGGGTTTTATTTAGCGCCCACTTTACTGCCCTTTGTGTTCCCCCTTTCTGACAGGACTGTTCAGTGCTGCTGGCTGGGAGGAGAATCCTTTCCATGATCAGCAGGCATCCAGGTGACAAAACAAAACCAATGCGTTTCTAGCCCATAAAAGCCTAGCAGTTATCCAGATAAAGTGGTTTTATATGTTTCATGTACAAATGGACATGAAGAACACAAAGCAGCCATTTAACACGAATACGGGGTAATCTTTAAAGAAAGATTATCCATCTAAATAAGGTTTTCTCTCATTGAAGATGACATGATTACGAATAGCAAAAGCTATAGCACATACTTGTATTGCTTTCATAAAAAGCTCAGAAGCTAGGGGTTCAGTTTTGCGTTTGGCTTCTGAAGTCTTTTTTCTGTCCTCTTCCTCCCTGGAGCTTCTCAGAATTTCAGGCAGCCTCCTAAAAATATACAACAGGATGGGTTTGTGTGAAGTCAGGAGGCATAAGTTAGGACAAGTCATGCTGTTGCTGGAAATGGCAGGC